TTCAACTGGCTCAGTTTCCTTATTTCCTCAACAAAGTTAGTTGAAATTTTAAAAATTCAGCTCCTCCATTGGTCACTAACCTCCCGTAACTTGAGCATCACACGGTCCATGTCGTTCGGCGAAAATCCTTGAAATTTGACAAGACAAGACACAGAAGCCGCAAGAACCGCTATTACACTGAAGGGCTGTTCAAAGTTCTTGCAGGAATTTTTTCTTACAAATATAGATCTTTTTCTTACATTCCTCGGTGCCGAGCGGCTTCCTCGCTCCACCTGAAATACAACACTTACGAACGCCAGTTTGAACAGATCAGTACTATCAAGGACTCCGCCTATCCTTAGTCAAGCAGTAGTGGCCTCTCACTGAATTTGCTCGGCAGTGAGCCGAAGAATCTGAAACTCGGATCGGGCTACTTCGGTATTTTTCAGTATCCTTCTCCGCCAAGAAGTTTTGCATGGCTTGGGAGAAATGGCGTTCAGTTGGGTCATATCAAGGTAATACATATGAAAAAAAGCTGAATCCTTAGAAGCTTCCCTCCCAGTGTGTCTATCATCTTCTCAGCTGTTCTTCCTTGAAAAATATGGTGTAGCAGGGATGTTGCTGCGGAGGTTGCCTTGGCTACATCACTGACTTTGTACGGCATCAATTTCTTTCTCTACTCGTTTGGTCCAATGGCATGGATATGGAAGGTACCGTCCTGTATGTTGCTACTGAGTAGAACCGCTAGGTACTTCGGAACGTTGTCGCCCAGAGTCCCTACGGAAGAATTTCGTTCGCCAATGTCTCGCCTCACGTCTCCTTTACGGAATCACCGAAATCATCAGTAGCTCTACCTCCGCTATCAACGTTCCATCCAAAGCATTTCCTAGGGGAGGTTGCTTCTAGAGTGTGCAGAGGTCGTGTCAGGAGGCATGAAGATTGCCCCCGCACTCTTTCTACCAATATTTGTTTCCTTCTTGAGTCGATCTCTCCCCGATCACTACTTGTAAAAAAGCGCAGCCAGGGACGACTGCAATACGGCTCTACTGACACAAATCCAAATGAGTACAATGACATCAACGATAATGACCGTAGCCGGCGCCATCATCGCTTTACTGCTGAGCTGCGCACCAGACCAATTCTACAAGGACAATCCTACCTACCTCCTGGGCGAGTGCGTCTTTAAAGACACATGGTATGCTCAAACACATTGAGGGTGTAAAGAACATTGTCGTGACTCTCATTTCGCTCGTCGGCGTGTATGCATCGGTGTTGGAGAGCCAACAAGAAAATCCGGGATTCCGGGTGCCCGGTGCACCCCTGAGGGGAAGAAGAGAAGATGTGCGCTGAGAATGCTCGAGACGTCCTGGGCCTGCTGACACGCGGCTACTAACTGACGAGGGCCTAGACTTCCCCTAGCCTATTAGGCGCGTGCGTCTGCGACGCGGTCCTTTATCGATTGACTGGCGCAAGACTTGACGGCGTATCGATTGACTGAGTCCGAGATGACAGACGACGGCGAACTAATCGAGAACCTAATTACTGACAGATGGTTAGCGACGACGTGGATTTACTTAGCGTGCGACTGTGAACTACAGGTTAAGGGGATACTGATTTACTACTCTAATACTTCAATGAATAAGCAATGAATGTGCAAAACTGTGCTATAGCAAATAGAAATAAATGTGCAAATAGCTAATATATTCTAAGCAAAGGTGGATTAATCGTGCAGTAGCAATAAGCAACCAACGATGAAACCATGATTTACTAAACACTACGATATGAATGGAAACGGAAAAGTGAACGTGGTTAACTAGAAAACTACACAAATAGCAGTGGTTAAGGGCTGTGGCCCGACCGGCCACGGCGACCGTAGCGATGACACTGACGGAGCAAGCTTGGCGCGCGGCTAGAGCACAGATGGACAGAGTATGCTAGAATGTTCTGCCCGAGGGCGCGAACTTTGAACGCATGCTGCGGCGCGGCTTCCTCCCAGCTTTACCGTGGAGCAACCTTACTGAGGTCGTGGCGGAAGTCACGACAACTATCAGCCCCCAGCTGTCGATGTGTCGTGGTCCCCCGCCCAAAACTGCACGGGGTCAGAGTACGGGGCCGTGGGAAAGTCGTAATTCCTTGCCGCCCGTTTCGCAAACTCACGTTTTTACTAACACCGTCCGCGCGGCGCGGTCGCGTGCAGCTCTCTTTTTGCCAAGTCCTGTAATTGCGCTTTGGAATACAAGTACAACGCAATTTCTTTATGCGGATAACATTTTAGGTGCTGCAAAATAAGAACCGAAGATGATGACGAGGGCTAGAACTCAAGAGCAACTGTGCTGCTTCTGCAATATCCCTCAGAGGCCGCGCATTCCCACAGAACATGACAATAAAACATGACAATACAAGCAAAACGCAATTTCCTAACATTTGAGGTATTGCTCATGCTTCAAAGTCCGAATAGAAGGTGATGAAGATGACAAAGGCTAGAAATGAAGAACAACGAATGTAGATGTAAATACACTGGTGTGCAAAACTTAGGGACGAAAGCAACTTTCGATCACTGTGCCTCTGCCAGACAACATAGCTCGATGAAATTCATATCATATCAAGAGAGAACCTTAACGATATTGTACAGAAAGCAACTGACAGAAACTCGGAATAAGACGAATTGTTATGACATTTTTATTCAACCATGTCGATTACACATAAGTCTTCACGATTTATCCTGGTACTACAAAAGAAGTTACACGGATCCTAATAGGGTGTGTGATCACCACGGACAGCAATACATGCTCTGCACCGCGATCCCATACTCTCCACGAGGTTGGTAATGAGTTCCTGGGGCAGGGCATTCCACTCCTCAATCAGTGCATTTGACAATTGCTGGATCGTCATTGGTGCATTTGGTCGTGCTGCAATGCGTCTACCCAGTGCATCCCACACGTGCTCGATGGGATTTAGGTCGGGGGAACGGGCGGGCCACTCCATTCGCCGGATATCCTCTCGTTCTAGAAGCTCCTCCACATGTGCTGTTCGATGCGGTCGCGCATTGTCATTAACGAAAATGAAG